ACGTACAATGTACAAAGCATAAACATACATATGTAACCATAATCTCTGTGTATATGTACACATGCTATATATGTATACATGTGTATTGTGTATGTACATGCGCTTATGTGCACAGAATACACTGTGCAATGCCCATTTATATTATGCATTTATATATGATGGCATGTGTTGTATATGTATACTGTATATGTACATATACACACACATATTTATATACATGTATGTGTGTATACACATATACACTTTGAAGGGAAGTAGGGATTATAGGAGACAAAATGTGGAAGGAGTATACGAAGTGGGACAGCCTGGGCAAAAGCTCAGAAATGTGATATCTATACCTATATCTAGATCTATATCTGTATGAATGTGTATATGTATATAGATGGATGGATGGATGGATGGATGGATGGATGGATGGATGGATGGATGGACAGACAAGTAGATAGAGAAACAGATAGATAGATAGATAGATAGATAGATAGATAGATAGATAGATAGATAGATAGAAAAATGAATGGATGGATAATGATAGAGATAGGCAGGCTCTCTTTCTCCTCAAATTATTTTGTATTTACTTAACCCTAATCCATGTTGTATCTCCCAGAAGAATATAAGACCCATGAGGACAATGCCTGTTTTAAATTTCTCCCCTGTGTCCCCAATACTGAGTACAGTATGGCTCACACATCTTTAATAAATGTAGGTGGTTAATAAGTGTTTGTTGATTTGAATTGGGATTCAGTTAATATGAATATGAATTGAATTGGACACGTTTGGTCAGAATTGTAATAAATAGAATTGAAGGGAGTTCCTTGGAGCTACAGCATGAGAAGCTGAGTGAGCAAGAACTTATTTGTTAACAGGGCACAAGTGATATTGTTGAAGAAGCTGTGACTTGGGATTCAGAGGACTTGGATTCCAATCCTACTGTGCTGTGACCTTGGGAAGTCACTGAGTGTCCTTGAGCCTTAGATTCTCATCTGAAAACACTGAGGAGGCTGAGCTTGGCCCTTCACAGGTCAAGGTTTGTGACCCTGTAATCTATTGGACTGGGCACCAGCTCTTCATGATGACACTATAAGGACAGTGTGTTTTGTTTTGTTTTCATTTGTCTTCCCTGCTACATCTCAGAAGCTGTGGGCTTTCCTTCATGCCCTTCTTTCCCAAGTAGAATAGAAGCTCCCTGTGGGCTTGCAGGCACTGTCCTGTTTTTGATTGTATCCTGAGTGCTGAGGCCAGTTCTAAAACATACTAAGTGCTTAATAAATGTTCGTGGAAGTGAATTAAATGAAACCTGATCATTTCCCATGTTTCTTTCCTTTCTGCTGTAGGCAGACCCCACACTTGCTGACAGTGATTAGGTTGTTTTGTTTTGTTTTGTTTTGTTTTGTTTTGTTTTGTTTTGTTTTGTTTTGTTTTGTTTTGTTTTGTGTTTCAATCCCCATGACCTGTATCTCTTGGTTTTTGCTATAATATTATGTGAAGGCAGCTTTCTTTGCTAGTTTTCTTTGGGCTGAAACTTGGGAGAAAACTTCATTTACTTTTGCTGGGGTCATTTTGCCTGGAAAATGAAATGAAGTTCCTCTTCTGGGTGGGTGTTCATATTACTTGAAATCCCTCAGTGAAATGATTTGCGCCTGCAGCCCTCCAACCCCCACAGCTGGAGCCTCTTAACAGTGATAATGGCGATGATGATGATGATGATGAATGCAGTGGTGGAACTCTGGATTTAGAGAAGAAAAACAGCACATGCTCCCAGAGAGTCCACCAGGTTGTAATTTATTGATACAGAAACAGAAGAAACAGTGTATACGTATGCTGGTGTGAGACGTAACCGCCCATATGCCCTTTATCCTGATTTGGGACAGGTCATCCAGCCCATGGGTGGAAAAATATATGACTTGAATTGAGTTGAGTTGAATTGCATTGCATTGTTCGGAATCACACACATGTAAAAGTAAATGCTAGATGTATGTGTGGTAAATATAAAGATGCTAACATCTTGTAGGTAGCACTTGAAATGAACTTGGAAGGGAATTAAGACTCCCCACTAAGAGTGGAGGCATGGGGGAACAGCTTGGGCAAAAGTTTAGAGATGAGAGATGGAATATTATATGCAAGGATCACCTATCTAAAGCTGAAAGGTGCCTCAGAGGCTATTTAGTTCAACTCCCTTTATTTTACAGATGAGGAAACTGAGGCTTATCGAGGTTAAATGACTCATCCAAGATCACAGAGTATCATTGACGGAATTTGAATCCAGGTCCTCAGATTCTAAGTCAGAACTTTTCCCAATGTATCACACTATTTCCCCTGAAGGAAAACAGCAAACAGGCAAGATATGGAAGAACAATTACACTGGTGCATAAAAAGATTTTTTAAAGATTCATTAGTTACTGATTTTTTTTTCAGTCTATGTATCTTCCTGTTCTTCCCTTTGAAGCAAGGAGTCAAGTGTGACCAGAATCCTTCAGTGATGATGATGATGTGAGCCTGGGTGAGTCAATTAATCTTCTCAGCCTCAGTTCCCTTATTTGTAAAATGGGAATACTAATAATAAATAAACAACATCTATCTCACAGAGTTGTTGTCAAGATCAAACGAGATAATCTATGTAAAGCACTTTACAACCTTTCAGGTATTATATAAATGCCGGCATGCATCTGGCTAGGCTTCCATCTAGGACTACTGCATCCCAACTTGGCAATGTGTCCTTTGCCTGTCGATCACAATATTTGTCTTTGGTTCTGTACTGGACTCTGTGACAGAGACAACCTCCCCCACCTGGTCTAGGACCTCTGTCTGCTACTAGACTCCCTTGATGTCATACTCCATCTGCTCACCGAGACATTCTATTGCTTACAGCTGAACCTCCTTGCTGCTGTTGGACTGCCTGTCTGGACTTGGAGTTTCCTAGGATTTAGAGCAGAAAGTGACCTTTGAGATGATCTCGTTCAATCCCTTCATTTTACAGAGAAGGAAACTGAAACCTACCAAGGTTAAAGGACTTGGCCAAAGCAGTAAAAGTAGGAAGAAGTAGTATCAGGATTTGAATTCCAGGATTCTGACTCCAAATCCATTTATCTTTGCACGCTACCCCTTTCTTCTACTGTCTGCTACATGGGCAGATGAGGAGGGATGAAGGTGGCTGAAGCATGTGCTGTGGAATGCTTACAGCTTAGTCAGACATCAAAGATGCCAAGATCATCCACTGCATCCTGGGCCATTGCCACTCAGCTGGACTTTTGTCCTTGTCACTAGATTTTGATGACTCAGGAAGAGAGAGTGAGGCTGATAACTTTGTATAACTCTGCCTCAATTCAGTCCCATTCATCTGAGTCAAAACATCACCCTACGATGTCATTGGTCCTCTTCAAAAATGAAGAATGAACAACAACCGTATTTCCCCTATGATGTGTCCTAACCTGATGAGTCCATTAGGTAATAGAATCCTCTTTCTGACACCCAGAGGCTTGTCCTATATACTTAGGGTGGCTTTATCCCTTCCCCTTTCTGTATCCTTTTTTCTCCTCCTATTGTAACCTCTAAGAAACTTAGGTTAGGGTTCTCATGGTTCATTCATTCATTTATTTATAGTGCTATGAGTTGATCCAGTGAGGCTTGTATAAACTTGTACAAGAGTAGTCCCTGAACATGAGAAGCCTAAAGGTTAGTACATGAGATAATGACACAAATATTTACATTTCAAGGTGAGCCCTGAGCTGCCCCATTTAGGCATCTTATCTCCCCCCCCCACTATCTTCTCCCATGCCTATTCTCCTACAATTCTGTCCACCATGGTGGCTGGGAGGTAGGGGAATCTGAATTTCCATCTGTTTAGCAGTTGAAGGAAATGAGGTAATGGGGAGCTCTTAACCCCCTGGTGGGAGGGGAGAACACTGTGTTCCTGTGGCTCTTGAGGGGAACTCAGCACATTTTTTCCTGGAAAAAGTGCAGTAGGTTTTATGTAGAGTATTCCTGACCCAGAGCTATGAACATACTGTGGGCATTATGGATTTTCAAAATGAACTTTGGTGGCTTATCCTGTCAAGTTAACAGAAACATGGTTACAAATAACTGATTCCGGAGAGCTTTATGTTCCTAAAATCTTTGTCGCTTGAGGCTATCGGTATAGAGAGGTAGCTGGATGGTAAAATGAATAGAGTTCTGGGTCTAGAGTCAGAAGACGTGAGTTCAAATCTGAACTTAGACACTAGCTGTGTGACCTTGGGCAAGTCACTTAACTTCTGTTTGCCTTCAGTTTCCTTGACTGTATAATGGGGGTAATGGTAATAATAGCACCTACCTTGAAGGTTGTTGTAAGGATCATATGAGATGACATTTTTAAAAAGTGCTTAGCAACATTTTTGGCATATATTAGACAGTTATTCCCTTCCCCTGCCTAAGACTACTATGAGGATAAAATGAGATAATATTTGCACTTAGCACAGTACCTAGGACCCAGACAAAATGGTCATCCTCAAGGTGCTTACGTCATAGGAGGTAGGCTGCTACAATATTTAAACTCAATTATTGTTTTCTTATCTGTAAACGTGGTGAAAATTCTTGTGTGACTTCCTCCCAGCTTGTGGTAAGAATACAATAAGATAACATTACGTAAAGGCACTTTGTAAATCATAAAGTACTATTTAAATGTCAGCTATAACTATTATTAGTCCAGGGTTTGTTTTTTTCTCAGCTATACTTGAGAAAATAATTGCACCATCTTCTTCATGGCTAGGGGTGGTGGTGGTGGTGGTAAGAGTAGTAGTTGTAGTAGTAGTAGTAGTAGTGGTGGTGGTGGTGGTGATGATGGTGGTAGTAGTAGTAGTAGTAGTAGTAGTAGTAGGAGGAGGAGGAGGAGGAGGAGGAGGAGGAGTAGAGGTGGTAATGCTGTGTGTGGCCAATGGAGAGAACAGGAAGATACTGAGGGCCTGGGATATTTATTCTGTGTAGTTCGTTCTTAGAGAGGGAATTGGTTATTCTTTCACATGAGTTACCTCCATTTATTTTTGAAAGCCAGGTATCTAGTCCCAGGATCAACAGATTTTCAGATTTTTTTTTCTAGTTGTCGACCTGATCCAGATCTTTGTACCTGAAAAGAGAGACTGGGGTAGGAGGGTAGAAGGGAAGAGTCAGGGCAGGGTGAGAGACCACAAGACAAGAAATGGCACTCTTGCTTCCCAAAGACTTCTGTAATGAGTTCAGAGTGGTGGCATTTCAGCTTGGCTTTAAAAAAAGGGGGAGGGGTGTAGAAATCTGATTTAGAACATCAGTGCTTATGAAATCACCATAAAATCTTTTCCATTTGCTTCCCCAATGTTCTTTCTTCTTAACGATCATTATTCTTCTCAATAAATTTTCTGCTAGATTTGACGTCTCCCCACTTCTGCGCCTGCGACATTACTCTGTGAGTTCAGGGCTACAGCTGTGTCAGCTTTTAAAAACATTAAGCAATCCTGACTTCAGCTTCAGATGTTCTCTTTAAGAAGGTCTGTGGCTCCCACAGGGCCCACCCAAGGAATAGGTGGTGGGGCCAGGCAGCTGAAGTTGCTTTTGAGTTAATGTTCAAAACTAGAAAATCTGGGAAGAGAAGCCTTTTCAGATTCGGCCTTTTGGATGTAAGCCAAGATAATAACTCTCTCAAAGGGTGCTGGGGCATTTTCCCAATGTCCTGAATTCTCATAGAAATACACTCTTTGACTCATTCCTACATTTGAGCTTTTCCCTTGGAAAATCATAATTTGGCTCATGTATAGGTATATATAGAGAAGGTAAGAGCTCTTAGGTTAGCTGCAAGCAATGGGTCTGGCAATATGCTGAATACAGGAGAGGCTTCATCTAGACCAATAACAATGGTTAAATGTAAAGGACTCAGGACCAAGGTCATTAATAGTCAAAACAACTCATCTTCTCTCTCCATTGGGATGCCATCCTCCCCAGGGGGCTAGAGTACTACTGTAGGATTTGGATGGGACCTTTAGCACATAGGGTTGCTACAGGCTATATCTCCTCTCCCCCATCTCCTCTACTTTCCTCTCTTCTCTTTTCTCTCCTCACCCTCATATGATACTTGTTTAAGGACCTATACAGTCACCTCCAGACTTATAGTACTGCCTTGGATGAAACCTTTCAGCCACTCAGTTGAGAGCCAAGCAGCTCACTCTGCCTTCCTGCTTCTCTCTCTTTCCTGGGCACCTATAGTCTTCAGAATTTATACTAGTTTGACCTCTTTCAAAAGGGAAAAGCACTTGGGGTCACTAGAGAATTAATACTATTCCTTTGGACACATGTAGTCCACATACGTCATAGTACTGGTGGAGAGCAAGGCTATGGTTTGGTATAATTGTTTTGTGTTGGGTGAAATAAAATCATATATATATATATGTATATATACATACACATATACACATGGTTTATATACATACATATAACATATATACATATAAATATATGCATATGCAAGCGTATATATATACATACACACACATACACACACACATATACACACACACACACATACAGAGAGAGAGAAAGAGAGTCTGAATATTGTTAGTCTAGGTTGGGTTTTTGCAGGAAAGTTGGGGAAATCTTCAAGTTGTTGCTGTTGTTGTTGTGGAGACCTAGACATAGGCCAAATCTTCAGGGGCAAGAGAGAAATTTATGGGAGAATCCTTCAATATGGAACCTTTGTTGTTGTTCAGTTGTTTCAGTTGTGTATGACTCTTTGTGACCCCATTTGGGGGTTTTCTTGGCAAAGACACTAGAGTGGTTTGCCATTTCCTTCTTCAGCTCATTTTTACAGATGAGGAAACTGAGGCAAACAGGGTTAAGTGACTTGTTCAGGGTCCCACAGCTGGTAAAGGTCTGAGAACAGATTTGAACTCATGAAGATGAGTCGTCCTCATTCCAAGCCCATTGCTCTCTGTTCATTGTACTAGGTCCAATATGGAACTCGGGAACTTGGTCTATATAAATTTAGAACATCAATTCTAAAGCATAGATTACATATTTCTATGGTACTTTCTGAGGGAGTCAGGATATCCGAAAAAATCTTTCAGTCCTAGAGTCAGAGAATTTTAGTTTAGTCATCTGTAAGGTCAGGTAGTTGGATTAGATGATTCAAGTTCCCTTCCAATTTTTTAGTCCAAGAGAAGTCAAATTACTAGTCATGTAACCTTGGGCAAAACAATAACAGATCCAGGAGTAGGACCCAAGTCTTTAGATTTTTAGTTTCAAGCAAGAAAAATACCTCATTTTTGACAGATGAGGAATCTAAGTTTTAAAGAAATTGACTCCACTAAGGTGGTAGAGAATGTTTTATACCCAAGCCTGCCATTATTATGTAAGGAGAGCCCTAGGATACAAAGCACAGTACAACCCCCCCCTCCTGTAGTTACTTGTGCTCATGGTGAGTCCTTCACACCCACTGTGTTGACCCAACTTTATATTGAACCACCATCTCTGACTCACCCAATTTATAAACCTCCATACCCCCAAAGCTCTGGATGCATCTTCATATCCCCATAATGGCATTTCTTTAATGCCTTTCTTTTAATATTTTTCTTTAACGCCTCTGTCACCCCATTGTTTTCTATAACATCTTAGTTACTCTGATCACGAACATAAACTTTTAGTTCACACACCCTCATGGAGTCATATCTACAACTGGAAGGAACCTTAAAGGCTATCTCGTCTAAACTCTCATTTTATACATGAGGAAACTGAGGCTGAGAAGTCACACTTGCATTTTACAAAGGCAGGATTTGAACCCAGTTCCTATGACTCCAAAACTAGTTTGTTTGTTTTTTTTTGTCACTGTCTCTCTGGCACTTGTTTCTATTACCACGCTCCTCATACATACTAGTGACATGGGAAAGCCTGACCTTCTTAAATCTGCATGGACTATTGGTAACTATGGGCATCTGTGTGACCTCACAAACTCCTACATGCTGTTGTTTCCTCTTTAGAACCATCTTCTGGTTTTATCATGGGTTATACAAATTACTTTGGCTAAAATGCAGAGCTCTTGTACAAGAGAAGTGGGAAACAACACTGGAGAAAAATGGGGGCCAATATATAAGGACTAGAAGGAAGGATAGTAAATACTTCAGGAACTCAGAGAACTAGGTAATTCTTTTGTCTCTGTAATGAATTAATTTCTTTCTATACCTCCTCAGTGACTCTGTCCAAAACAACACCAACTTTCCCATTCGTTCTGGGTTATTTTTTGGCTGCATCAAGAGGGAATATGTGCCCACAACTCCTAAGGACCAGTGATGAAGCATGCTACCCACCTCCTGACAGAGGAGGGATGGAGTGAAGGTGCAGAATGAGACAAACCTTTCTGGATGTGGCTAGTGTAGGAATTTATTTGCTTGATTATGCTTATTTGCTATGAGGGTTTTCTTTTTCTTTTTCTTTTTCTTCTATGTTGTTGGTGGGAAAGGGAATTTGGGAGGGAGAGAAAACAGGTTTTCAGTCACTGAAAATTTTAAAAAGAATTTAGCAGCCCCCTCCCCCACCCCCAAGGAAGGGTACTAGGTAGGATAAGTCATTGTGCTGTGATAGAAGAGACCAGACTCCAGTTTGTTGCTAAGTCCCCATTCTATGATTCATTGACAGAATGAGTATGGCCAAGAGACAACCTTTCTGGACCTCAGTTTCCTCACCTATAGGGTGGGAATGATAATAATATGTACACTTGCTACCTGCTATCATAAGGATGGTGATTTATACACCCAGTGGCCCCTTATTATCTACAAAATAGAGTTCATTTTCCCCAGGCTGACATTTAAACCTATTCACAGTATGGTGTCATCTTGCCTTTATAGCCTAAACTCATTGATTCTTTCTATGTCTTGTAGGCTATAGACACACTGGATTACTCACTGCCCCTTGAACACATCCCATGTTCTTCTTCCCAAGTCCATGATTAAAAAGTAGATGAGAAAAAAATAATTCGTAACTGTACTCAAAAAACTAACGAAATTAAACATACCCTTTGATCCATCAATACAACTACTGAGCATATACTTCAGGGAGGTAAAAAACAGAAGGCAAGGATCCATATGAAGATAGTGTTTATAGAAGTCCTTTTTTGTTGTAGCTAAGAACTTGAAACAAAATTAGGTGCCCATCAACTGGGGAATGGCTGAACCAATTGATGTAAAATGAGAATGTAATAGACTATTATTGTGTCATAAGGACACCATCATCCCTCTTCCTAGCACCCGGGCTTACTACCTTACTCTCTCTCACTCCCCATATCCAATCAGTTGCCAATTCTAATATTCACTGATTATAATATTCATAATATCTAATAATAATATCATACCTAATAATAATAATACCCTAATCTCTAATTTTTATAATTCATAATATTTCTGTATATGCCCCTTTTCTCCTCAAACACTGCTGACACCCTGGTGTAAGTCCTCATATTTTTCCACATGGACTACTGCAATAGCCTGCTGGTTGATCAGCCTGACACAAATCTCTCCCTATTACAGTTCTAGGCTATCAAAATGACCTTCCTAAAAGTCAGGTATGAACATGTCATTCCCCTATTCAATAAGTTCCATTGGCTCCCTATTATCTCTAGAATCAAATATAAAATCCTCTGTTAGTCTTTTAAAGTCATTCACAAACTGCCCCCTTCCAACCTTTCCAGGTTTCTTATACTTTACTTGCTGTACTCTACAATCCAATGACATTGATCTCCTTAGCTGTACCTCACACAGGACAGTTCATTTTCACTGACTTCCATGCCATGCCTTGATCTTGTCTTCCTTCAATTCTCAGCCAAAATTCCATCTTCCCCAAGAAGCTTTTCCTGGTCCTACTTAATGTCAGTGCCTTCTCTCTGAGATTACCACCGATTAATTCTGTATAGATCTTGTTTGACCATGGTTGTGTGTCTCCTCTCGTTAGATTAGGAACTCTCTGAGGGCAAGAACCTTTTCTTTGTATCCTCCAAACTTAGAACAGGGCCTAACTCATAGTAGGCACTTAGTAAATGATCGCTGATTAACTTGTTGACCTGTTAAGGAGCTTTGAATATGATAGGTTCAGAGACACTTGGAAAGCATTGTACGAACTGGTACAGAATGACATGAGCAGAACTAGGGAAAGAATTTACATAATGATCACAATACTATACCAGAGACTTATTTTGAAAGTCTTCCAAACTCTCATCATGGGACTGATCATTAATCCAGAAGGCCAGTGACGAAGCATGCCTCCCACTTTTTGGCAGACAGGTGGTGTACTACTAGAGGCATATAGAATAAGACACATTTTCAGATGTGGCCAACACATTGAGTTGTTTTGCTTGGCTTTGTTACAAAATTTGAGGCTCCTATTAGAAAGAGAGTGAGTTAGTGGTTAAAGATAGATAGAAAATAAGAAAGGAAAGAGCATCAGTAAAAATTAAAAATACCCAGAAGAAAACAAAATATTCAGAAAAGCAAATGAAAAAGAGTAATTTTATGACCTGTACATAACAGAAGTTCATGGGTTGATATCCAATCCTTTCTTTCTTTTTTTTTGTGCTTTGTATATTGTATATTGAAACTGAAATTGTTGTTTTGTGGAAGATTAGTATTATCAAATTATCAAATTCACAAACAAAAAATAAAATAGCAAAAAAATATGGATAGCAAGAGTCCATTTATGAGAACTGTTGAAAAGATATCTATCAAGGGTAGAGATCTCGGTAATAATAACAATAATAATAATGATAATAATAACAATAATAAAAACAACAACAACAATAATGTGTATAATACATATTATGTGTCAGGTACTGTGCTAAATATTTTTAAAATACTTTATTTGATCTTCATAACAACCTTAGGTGTGGGAATAGGTGCTGTTATCATCACCATTTTTATACATGAGGAAACTGAAGCAAACAGAGGTTAAGTGACATGCCTAGGGTCACATAATGCATATCTGGGGCTAGATTTTCACTCGGGCTTTCATAATTCCAGGCCCAGCACTCTATCTAGTATGCCATCACTCTGCCTGTAAATGGAGCTAAGAAAATGGATTTTAGAAAGATTAAGATGCCTACATCTTTTTCAGAGCTGATTTATTTGTTAGAAATTAAAAAAAAAAACAACCCCCCCCCCAAACAAACCCTGATCTTGTATTTGTCAGGATCCTGTGAGATCTGGTCCAGGTACACCTGAAAGAATAAGGAAGGCTCGGGAAACATTGTCTGAACTGTCACTGCCAGCGTGAAAACCTAGACCCAAAATAATTAATTGGTATGTATTTTTAATGTGCCTGTTATGTATCAGGCACTGTGCTAGGCACAGGTAATGAGGATACAAAAACTGTTTTGGGAAGTCTCTGCCCTCAAGGAGTTTATATTCTACTGACAAAAACTCAAAGTTAAAATGAAGTAAAATAAAAATCAATTACTTATAACTGGACCTAGACCAGAAGGAAGAAGGGACAGCAACTAAAGTCTGCTAGGTACCACCACCTTATCAACTTTGAACTTGGTTCTACTGGATGAAGAAAATATTGAGTCTAGATAGAACCTGGATTCCAGTCTCACTTCTGACAATGAAAAGCTCTGTGAGCAGGCTTTGGGCCCATAAATGTGTGCCATTTCCATGATCAAAGGTATAAAGTCTATCAAAAGCTGTCTAGTGTTAGAAGTAGAAAGAAACTTCCAGAGAATTTAATCCAATCACTTTACTTTACAAATGAGAAAACTGAGGTCCCTAGAGGATAATGACTTATTGAAAGTCATCCACCTGGTAGAGGTAGAACTAGAACCCAGGTCTCTGGACTTTTAGCTCCATTGTAATTCTTTCTGTAACCTATCTTTAAAGGAAAATAGATAATAAAAATGAGAAAAGCAGATATGATTTTCTCTTTTAGTGATCAGGGCAATAGGGTGAGCCCTTTGCTTTGGACTCCTCAGACATCAGTGGAGATGTGATCAGATAGTAAGCTGTCTGATTTGATAACCCCATGAATTTGTCTGCAGGCCAATAGAGAATAAGAAAAGAGCGTAACAAAAATAACAAACCTCCTTGTTGGACCCATTCTTGATGAAATCCCCCTCTCATAATCTAACTTGGGGAGGATTAATAATCTAACTTAGATTTTTGGGGGGTATCATTGCCACCTTTGGTGGTATCTGATAAAGCCTCTGGTCTTTTTCTTAGAATATTGTTTTTAAATACATAAAATAAAATATATGAGATGACAAAGGAAACCAATCATACTGAGATACAGCTACTAAAATATAATTCTTAGAAAGTTCATAAACCCCTGTACTTGCTGGATTATAAAAAGCAGATGCTAAAAAAGCCCCCCCCCCCTTTTTGCTCAATCTGTCAATGCAAAGTGTTATGCTAAGAAATATGATTGAGTCAAGAGTTAGACTTCTTTGAAAACCTGTTTAACTTTCATTAAATTCACCTAATTTCAAAATATTTTGATGCAGGTTGGTGTTATTCTGCTGAAGATATCAGTGACATATGCCTAATAAGGAATCATTTCCTTTTAAGTGCCTGTTCCCTGACCATCAGGGGTCTAACATTCTGCCTTTGACACAGGGTGGTAGAAAAGTCAAGGCCCTTCTTTTCATTTTCCCTTTAGCTAAATGGTTCTTTTTTCTTTTTTAAGCAGCTAACATGAAGATGGAATGTGGCACTACCAATCTATTTCCTCTCACCTTTGCTGAAGAAAGACATCCCAGAAGACTTCATTTCTTAAAATTGCATCTGCTGACAAATTCTAACATGGTAAGCCAAATAAAAATGACAGTTGTGGGAATACTGCTTTATTCCCTGCCTGGACATTGTTTCTTGAGGATGGTAATAGGAGGTCCTCAGAGACATACTCTCAGACAGAAGATATGTTATCTTAGTCTGGAGATAATTTTCATCAGTAGCTATTCCCTTAAGTAATGTGGCCAGCTCAGCCTAATTTTATCATCCTTTCCTGCTGCCCATAGATGACGGTAATAGAACTCATGTCCAAATGTCTTGGTTCTCCTGGGAACATATACACACATGATACAACTTCATGGACTTGTCTTGCTTATGTGTTATATCTTCTCCCTTACTCCCTGCCCCCCCCAACACCTCCAGGGGATGCTTCAGGTAGACATCTCCAGCACCTAGAACAGCGCATTTTCATAATGCAAGCGCTTCACACGTGGATTGGTTTTGGTTTTTGATTGGATTAGATTGGTACTGACTGAGCGGGTCCAAATGAAACACAAAAACTTTGTACAGTGAAATAGTAAATAACAGGATTTGATCAATTCTCTGAGTTACAGAGGAGCTAACCTCCTGAAGAGTGACCTGACTCTAAATTCAACTCAGTTCTAGAATACACAGGTAAACCCTGCTTTGGTATTCCCAACTCTATCCACTGGTCACTCCTGCTTATCCATGGCCATTGCATAAAATAGCCAAGAGACAAGAAAAAAACAGTTTGAAGCCTGATTTGTAGTGAGAAAAGAGTAAGAAAAAAATGAGGTTGAAAAGTGTGGGGAGTTATATTTCTTTGTATAGTCTTTTGTAAACAACAGCTGAGGGCAGTTTCAGCTGGCATCAGAGCTTTGGCAGGAATCTGCTAATTACAGAACAAGGGCAGCTGAACAAACTAACATCCTTTTTTTGGAAAATAAAGAGAAGGGAAGCCCTAGGAAAAGGTAGGAAAGCCTGCTGAACATAAATCCTCACTTAGGAGCCCCATGTTGGGAAACAGGCAGAAAAAAACATACTCTTTATGGTGGCAGTGAGATACAAGTGCCAGCAATGGGAATGATGCTGAACTGAGGTTTGGGGTTCCAGCTGGTACAGAAGACAAGGGGAATGTTGCAAGTCCTTGCTGTGTGCTCTGTTCATATTTCTGCCAATGCCGAGTGCTAAGATGGGAGGAAGGAGTGAAGGATATAGGGAATTGGTTCTCAGCTGCAGAATAAAAGGGAGAACCAAGTGTTTCTTGGGTGAATGGAAGAAATACTTCAAAGGGAAAACAAAGAAGGAAGGAGTCTTGATATGCAGAGAATTATAATCTTCAGGCAGTTGTTGGAGGGGAATTGGAAAACGTTGATGCAGAGAAAGAAGGAAAGAAGGACCACTAAACTTTTGGGGATGGGCAATGGAATTGAAGATTTTTCCACAGAGGGTTGCTCTTGTTGCTGTTTGTCCTTTGTTCCTGAAGAGGCCCATGGCATCAGGAAGGTGATGCCATGACACGTAAATGAATTGGATTTAAGTGAGGAGGGCTGCACAAAGTCATCAGCCTCACTTTCTCCTCTGGAGCCATCTGGGACCAGCAGCAAGATATAAATCAGAATGACTGGAGATGGCCCCACTCCAAGGAGGATAGAGTTGGACCCAAGGAAGAGGGAAAGGAGTCTCGTATTTCAAGGAATGATGAGGAACCATAAATTTCATCTGGCACTGGACAGAGGAAGAAGAAACAAATGGTGGACATCTTGTTTGGGGGGACTGAAGTGCCCATACATTGATCTGACAAGAACAAGAGAGAAATATGCTATCTACCCATTATATAATGGAAAGCTTCTTAAGACTTGTCAAAGCTGGTAGTCATCACCTGTTTTTCTGATCCATGTGGGTGGATATAATGTCACCAGAGGAACCTAGAAAAAATTTCTAATGGGAGGGAATAATGAAGAATTTGATTAAACAGATACTAAGTACCAGGCACTATTCTAGCTGCTGGTGATTCAAAGACAAAAAATGAAACAAGCCTTGACCTCAATGAGCCAACCAGAGGAAACTACACATGCATAAATAAGTCAATCAATCAATCAATCAACCAATCAATAAACATTTATTAAGTTCTTATTATGTGCCAGGAACTATGCTAAGTGCTGGGATACAAAAAGAGACAATAAGAAGAAGAATTGTTATTAAGCATATACAAAATAAATGCAAGGTTATTTATTTACTTATTCATTTATTTATTTTGCCAGGGGGAACATTAGCATTTGGTGGGGGTAAGATTAGGAATGTCATCATGTAGAAATTATTGACTGAGCAGAGTTTTCAAGGAAATAAAGTGAAAGTAAGGTAGGGATGGAAGAGTCATGTGTTCATAGTAGCAAGAAGGCCAATGGGAAAGGACCACTGAGTGCAGGAGGAGGGTAATATGTAAGTTTGGAAATGGAGGTTGGAGATAGGCTTCAAGGAGTCTGAAGACCTAAGCCAGAAGAGCTTCTATTTTATCTTTGCGGCAAAAGGGAGCCATTGGAGTTTATGAGTAGGGGAATGACATGAGCATATCTATCCCTAAAGTCAGTCACTTTGGCAGTTGTTGTAGAGGGAGGATGGATTTGAGAGGGGAGAGACCTGAAGCCTCAAGATTGAGGGGTCTATTGTAATAGATGAAGTGATGGTCATGTGAGCAGAGAGAATGGAACTTGTGTGACAGATATTGCTGAAAATATCAATACAGTTGGAAATATAGCTGAAAATAACTGTAAAAATAGCAAGATTTGGTTGATTTGATATGCAGGATGAGGAGTGAAGAATAATTCCAAAGTTAAGATCTTCAGTAACTAGAAGGTGAAATAGGATGGTTTTGAAGAAAGGTAGATTTTGGGGAAAAGAAAACGAGTTCAGTTTTTGATATGTTGACTCAAAATGCCTACTGAATGTCTGGTTTGAAAAACTCAATTGGTAATTGTTGTTTAGTCATTTCAGTCTTGTCCAACTCTATGTGACCACATTTGGGATTTTTTTGGCCAAGATACTAGAGTGGTTTGCCATTTCCTTCCTAGCTCATTTTACAGATGAAGAACTGAAGCAAATGGGGTTAAGTGACTTGCCTAGGCTCACACAGCTAGTAAGTATGTCTGAAGCTGGATTTGAACTCATGAAGATGAGTCTTCCTGATTCCAAGCCCAGTGCTCTGGAGATGTGCAACTGAAGCTCAAGCTGGACATATAGATTTAAGAATCATAGTAAAGATAATAATTAAACTCATAAGAACTGATGAGGCCACCAAATAAGAGGGTATATAGAAAAAACAGAATGGATTACAAACATAGACTACCAGGCCAGAAGGAGGAGTACATAATGAATTTATCAACTATCAAGAGAACTTGGAACTGGAAGGAATAATTAAGAGTTGATACGACAGTCAGGATTCCTCAAAGGTTTTAAAAATCTGAAACTGTGGATTAAATATGATAAAATGGGTTCCACTTCTAGGAGCCAAGATGGCAGAGTAAAAGGGTAGTCAATCTCCCTCTCCCCTATCAACCTCTGAAAACCCAGAAAATATCACCCCAGAAAAAAACCCTGGAACAGCTGAACTAGAAGAAAGATGGGGAGCAGCAGTTCAGTAGCCCAACAAACAAGTCTCCCAGTGCCTCAGCAAAAATAAGGGAGCAGAACTACAAGGGCCCCAGGCAGATACCCTGCAGCATTCATCTGAAAGGAGCTGAAGAAACAACCTAAAGCTTCCTAAAGCCCAGCCTTGCTGATTCCAACCCAACACCAGGTAAGCTGTCAGAACTCCAAGTGAAGAAATCCTGAAGCCCAGGTGGTAGACAGGCAAACACCAACACCTGGACCTCTGAGTGCCTCAGTGAGGGGGGGAACGTGGAAACCAGCTCAGAAAACCACCAGGTGCCTCAGCACTCTAACAAAGGAATCTCCCAGTGCATTAGCAGAAAGAGGGAGCAACACTGCAGGGGCCCCAGGCAGATAAACACCCTGCAGCACCCATCTAAAAGGAGCTGAAGAAAGCTAAAGGAAAGGAAAAGCAGGCAACCTAGAATTGCCTGAAAGTTCCAGCCTTGCTGATTCCAGCCCAACACAGGTAAGCTGCCAGAAACCTCCTCCAATTGCCAACATAAGAGGCCCCAGCACACAAAGCCAGTGACCAAGACCTAGGCTCCCAACACAAGAAGCTTGGGTCAGTGCCCTCTGTTCCCCAGCAGGAGAGCTCAATCTCTTTAAAGGCCAGGGAATAAAGAAACACCATGAGTAAAAAGAAACGTACCATAGATTCATATTATGAGAAGAGTGAAGATCAAGACAGAAATTCTGAAGAGGACAACATTGTCAACAAACCCACATCTGCAACAAAAGGGAATATGAACTGGTCTGAAGCCCAAAAAGCCTTCTTAGAAGAGCTCAAGAAGGATTTTAATAGTCAAATGAGAGAGGTAGAAGAGTCCTTCAAAAATACAATTGGCCAATTGGAAAAAAAATACACTGAAGAAAACAAGTCCCTAAAAAACACAATTGGCCAATTGAAGAAGGAAGTACAAAAACTAACAGAAGAAAACAATCTGTTAAAAACTAGAATTGGACAAATGGAAACTAATGTCTCTATGAGAGAGCAAGAATCAGTCAAACAGAAACAAAAAAATGAAAAAATAGAAAAATAAAATACCTCATCAGTAAAACAACCGACCTGGAAAATCGATTCAGGAGAGACAATTTAAAAATTATTGGACTACCTGAAAATCATGATGAAAAAAAGAGCCTGGACAGTATCTTTCAGGAAATCATAAAGGAAAACTGCCCTGAAGTCCTAGAACCAGAAGGAAAATAACCATAGAAAGAATCACCATCACCACCTGAAAGAGATCCCAAATTGAAACGCCAAGGAATATAATAGCAAAATTCCAAAAACCAGATGAAAGAGAAGGTGCTGCAAGCAGCCAGAAAGAAACAATTTAAATATCATGGAACCACAGTCAGGATTACACAGGACCTTGCAGCTTCTACATTAAAAGACCGCAGGGCAT